TTGCCAATCTCCAGGTGAGGGCTGGAGATCACTCAAAATTACAACTGTTCTTTAGGTAGCAGAGATCAGTTCCTCTGGAGAAAATGGTGGACTCAGTGTCATTATACCCTGCTGAGGTTGCCACAGCAAACTCACACTGAGTGTCCAAGGCCGGGGCACCCGCCCAGAGACTCTTTCTAGAGCTTGTTGTATTTATTTCCACAATGGGCCTTTTTCCTTGTATATATATATATACTGCCCTGACAGAATATGGCCAAGCATACAAATGGGGCAAATTCCTACTGGTGTTCCTTCTCTGATCACTGACATCTGATAGCCCTGGGTAAGTGGAGCATGAATCCTTATTCCAGTCTATTTAAATGCCCGGCTTCATAATGTTACTAAAAGCCTAGAAAGAACTCTTCGGCATCAAGGAAGCCTGTAATGGGCCGTTCGGCCAGGCGGTGGCAGTGCTTCGCTGCAACGTGAAGCAGTCCGGAGAAAGCTGACGACATCAAGCCACGCCGAGGGAAAAATGCCGCTGGAACACATCTAACCTTACAGCTGAACAAACTCCCCGTTGGCTGTAAATGTGTGTGATTTAAAGATTATATGTTGTCCTCTCTTACCCCTTGAATCAAAAGATTATTTTTTATTATTATTATTATTATTATTATTGTAAGCATCATCTACAGCAGTGCAATAAACTGCTCCAACAGCCTAGCTGTGCACCCAGCAACAGAACTCAGAGACACGGCCATATGTAAAAGGAAAGGTTTACCATGGCACCAATGCTCCCTCTAAGCTATGGAGTCCTTTAGCAAAAATTCTGTTTTGTGAGCTACTGGCATTAAAGTTGTGAGCAGGTGATTTGGCTACTGCATAAATTAGTTTGCTCTGGAGCCATCCTTCCTAAGCTAAGGCAAAAATATGTGAGCTGGAGGCTAAAAAACTGTGAGCTAGTTCACACTAACTCAGTTTAGGGGGAATACTGCCTGGCATCCTTTTATCTCCATTTGCTGGCTCCTCAGGCCCTAAGGATTATAATCACAGCTGCCATCAGCAAGCCTTTAACTTATGGGAGGGGAACACCTTGGCTTTTCCCTCTCCATGAGGTTTGTACACTGAGGATCCCAGAGTTCTTGGGCTCTTTCTATAGGTTGTGCTATATGGCAGACCTGGAACAGCCACAGGCAAGACAACCCTACAATCCTCTCGAGACTACTTTTCACGCAGAAGTTGGAAAAAACCCAGAAATTTATTGAGGGATAAAAAGACATAATAGCCACAATGAATTAACATATGTAAATCCTCAAGGGATTTGGGGGAACTGAGGCAATTAACTTAATCCAACTAAAGGTGGTAAAGTTACAAAAAGGACACTCAAAATAAGAGAAAATCCCTAATGCATTCAGCTACCATCTGTTCACATTTCCATCTCCTTTCTCCCTCTCTCCTGAGGGTAAGAAACCATATCCAAATGTGGCTCCTCTAATGAAGCCTCCAGGAACTGAACAAAACAAATGTTTCCCCCCAACTGTCACCTGTGTTTTTTAACAAAATAATCTTCACTGGCTTGCTTACAACCAGCCATTCTACTTTGGAAAGAACAGCAGAGGCATCAACACCTACTTCTATCAAGCACATTTATACAAGCTCCATTTACTAATGCTTGGCTATACTTTACTGCCCTTTTCCACTTTCACTTATCTTGGTCTTGGAGTGGCAGCTGAAGCAATGACAGCAGAGAAGGAAATTTCCCCTCATACAGGTAACATTAGTGTCATAGGTGCCAGGGACCCTGGAAAGGGCTCTTGGAGGCTATTTGGACTCAGGTACCATGGCCACCAAATGAGAAGGGAGCACTCACTGGAGAAGACCCTGATGCTGGGAAAGATTGAAGGTCAAAGAAGACGGGGACGGCAAAGGATGAGATAGTTAAACAGTGTCATAGATGCAACGAACATGAAATTGAGCAAACGTCAGAGGACAGCGGAAAACAGGAGGGCCTGGCGAGATCTTGTCCATGGGGTCGCAAAGAGTCGGACTTGACTGTGCGACTGAACAACCACCACCATGGGAATATATATGCATGGATTCCTACATTAGGCTGCGGTCACATACACTAAATGATCCACTTTCAATGTACTTTCCAACTGGTGAGCCTTTCTAGTATTATAGAAGAGATAGAAATGATTCACTGTATCCACTTTTTCCAGTCTACATCATGCATAATTTTGTACACCTCTATGATGTCACCCCTCAGTCTGGGGGAGGTAAAGCTGTCCATTGTGTACACTGCATGATGTAACGGCCATGACTTCCAGAACCTCAGGCCTTACCACAAGCATACTAAAACTGAAAAATTAAGACTGGGATACAGGCAATAGAGAAGATTGACTCACAGGGAATAGATCAGTTCCTGTGGGAGCTTGAATATACCCTGACAATCGCTTCCTGAGGGCTCATCAAAATTCTGGTCATGATTTACAACCAAGGTTTGCAAGACAATAATCAACCTCCTTGGGCCATCCAGGAATCTGCCTTACAATGAAGACTTCTCTGGAAAGCTAATCATAAGTGAAGCCAAGGCCATCAGCCATATCCTGGACCCCTTCCCTCGATACTTCAGTTGCACTGGGACTGCTGGATCAGGCAATGTATGAAAATTTCTGCTCTGCCACCCCCATCCATTTCTCATCCACGACTTCAAGTGCTACTCAAGAAGCTGCTAGCCTTGCCCTCCTATCTGTCCCCCCTTCTCTGGGTACACTGCATGCTCACAACTACAAATGCAAGAACACTGGGAATAGGTAGCAAGTTCTGACTTTGGATTAGCCTAAGGGAGGATACATCTAGGAGAACTGGACGGCTTCCACTGGGAATCATCAGATTTATTTGTTTATTCACCAAATGCTTGTGTGATTCTGTTAGGCCTTCTAGTTACTTATAGCTTACTAATTTCCCAAATACTGTATTCTTACATTGTTCTTTCAGTGTACCTGTTTTTTCATCCTTTTCCTTCTGTTCAGTTTATTATGTTTAATAAAGCTTAAAATTCAAGTGCTGTCTCTCTTATTGTCTGTTGTTCCAAATCCAAACCCATTCCCAAGGTATTGCCCAAGCTTGTGCCCATTCCAGTGCAGGCCAAAAGTCCATTGACCTGGGAGTTTACAAGTGCTCTTGTGCAAGAATGAATATATGTACCCCCAGCATTCCAGTTAACAAAGTCCAAAAACTGGAATTTCTTGACACAAAGTATATGTGCTCCAGTAAGGAGCATCACCAGTTTCCTTAGCAGGAGTGAAAGTGCATGCAGTTCAAACATTCTAAAATGAAGAAGGCAACTTTACCAGTTGCCTTGTAGAGTTCCTTCAGGTGTCCTTCTGGTAATCTGATCTGGTGGACAGTCACATCAACTGTTCCTCCTCCACTGTCAACCACTATGTAACGGTCACCTATTAATACAAGAATCATAACAAGGTACAGTTTGTGTTAGTGTCAAGACATACAGTTCACGTTCTCACAGATAATACCATTAACATGTGTCGCTTGATAGCCATGAACATCTTTAATACTGGTAGGAGTGTGGGCTAATTCACTGCCATGAAGAATGAGCAGAGATCAGGCCCATAAGCCACAGTGGGGCATCTCAGGGCCACACCCTCTTAATTACCAGCCACACCCCACAAAACTCTTTCCTCAACCTTAGAATAACTTTGTTTAGCCACAGTGCACTGCACCACGCCTGGTCCTGCCTGCACTGCCGTCTTCTCAGACGAGATGCTCCTCCCTATGGAAGGGGAGGGGTGGGGTCTGAGCGGTGTGACTCATTGTCTGCTGCAGCCACTTCCTGCATCACCCGAGCTGGGAGGGAGTGGGGGGCAGTCCTGCACTTTGTTCTCCAGCCTGCCAGTGATCAGTAGCAGCTGAATTAACCGGCTCCTTAATGATTCCATCTCCATTGTCCAATGATTTGCATATATTAGCCGTGGACTCTAGGCGCACAGCTCTTATTCCTGTTTTTCATTCCTGCACCTGACCCGGAATGCTCACTCTCCCTCCCCTTCTCCTTCCTGGCAAGGAGACAATGAGCCCGACGCAGACAAGAAAGCTATTGGAGGAGCAAGAAAGCCGCGGGACAGCCTCAGCCCTGGGCTACTTTGAACCTCCCTCCCTCCCTTTCCTCTGGCACCTTTGACACTTGCCTGGGGTTGCACAAGGGTGGGGGGGAAACAAAAGGAAGGGCTACAAACAGGCACGGAGCAGAGCTGAGGCTGAGTTTGGGGGAAAGTTAAGCAGCAAGGGGAGAACAAGCAGCAGGGCAAACAAGCACACCAGAAGGGTCTCCCCCCCACCCACGTTGCATTTCTTCGACCAAGTCTGGCCTCCCTCCCCCTTTAAAGACATGAGACGCTACCCAGGTAATGTAATTAACTTTAATTTGACTGCCCCCTTAAAAATTTGAATACCCCCTGAACAAAACAATCCTGGCTACGAGCCTGGCAGAGGTTGATAATAGAGGTAACATTCAGAATGCAGCCTGTTAACCAGTTTTAATCACAGATGTTTGGAGAATGTAACCAGGTATTAAACAGAATGGTGCATGTTACCTGCATACAGGGGTCATTTCCTGCAGAAGCGCACAGGAGCTGAGCTCCGGCAGTAAAGAGCCCAGGAGGCTGGCACATGCAACCAACCCCACCCCCTGCTCCCAGCAGCCCCCAGTCAGAGCAAGAAGCAGCCAGGTAAGTTGCAGAGCCCCCCCGGTCCAAAACAGTCCAGTGGCACCTTTAAGACCAAGTTTTATTCAGGTACAAGCTCTCCCTCCTCTGTGAGAACAGATCTGCACCTGTGTCCCCCCCCCCCCCATAGCTAGCAATCCACACACTTCTGGTGATGTCAGGGGGTGTGGCATATGCAAATAAGTTCTGCTAATGAGTTATGCTACTGAGCTCATGCACCTCTTTTTCTATGAAATGACCTCTGCCTGCATACAAAATAACTTTTAAAACAAACAATCAAGAGTTAGCCTTCATAAGACTAACATGAGTTCAATCAAGATATAATAGATTGGTGGAATTTTCCCTCCTGAAGATGATATGCTTGTACTCACACCTTAAAACAGCCACATAATTTATTGTTTCTGGGCAAGTAGCAAAGGCCAAATGGCCGCTGACGCCTCTTTCTGCTTTCTTCCCACTGTTGGTGTCTCTGCCATAGCCATGGTTATAGCTTAGGTTGCTTAGACCTAAGGGATAAGCAGCTAGGATAACATGCAAGCTGAGCAAAGTGCACCACTTAAATATCTGCACCTGCTCCCTTTTTTAGCATTAAATGGGCAGCCATCTGCTGCCTTTATGCACCTCAAGGGAAGAAAGTGGTATGTGTGAGGGGGACTATGTTGAATATTTTTTGCAGGATGCCTTAGTATTTAGATCTAGGTTTCTTGGAACTTAGAACCTTAGTAGCATGTGCTTTATGAACAACTTTCAAATTTCAGTTTCCTAAAGTCCAGCCAAAAACAGGACATGTATTTGCCTTTAGGTGTTAACTGCTCGGAGTATCTTATATATGTATGGTACATACTGTTGCTGGCAACAGAAAACCAGCCACAGCAAAGATCATTCAGGAAAGGACACTACCTTCCTCCAACTCGGACCAGATCTCTCCTATGACATTTTCAACCAAAAAGGTGCGGCTCTGCCGGTTACGCCGTATATGTTCTTTAGCTAGTAAATGATAGAGAGAAAATGACTAAGTATAAGACAGCATGACAAAGTGGAAAGTGTATGCTGAAGGAAGCAAAGGCAAGAACACTGGGAACTAGCAACAAGTCATAATTTTGTTAAGCAAACAGTTCAGTCACTGCATTACTATTTTGCCAATATTCAACCCAAGTCAAACACGCTATTAATTCTTACAACCAGTGGATTCCAAATAATGCAGTGCTAATGGCTCAAGCCTTTTACTTTAGGAAAATCCAATCTGCATTGAGATAATTTCTGCTTCTGAATTACATTTCTGCCAGCAGAGGGCATAACTGGCAGAGAATAAGAGAAACTAATAAAGACAGATTCAGCAATAAGAACAAAATTTGAGTCCAGTGGCACCTTGAAGATCAACACATGTTAAGCTTCTACCCAGAATCTAATAAAGACATTTGTTTAAACTGATTTGTATACCCTTGTAAACACTTTTCATGCCCTTAGATTGTGATATTTAAAACATATTTTTTGGCCAGGTGGCTTTTTAAAACACAGAGCAATTTGAGACTAATGAGACTAGTGTTCAAAGGGAAGGCACTCAGACATTTCTTGAAAATCAGATCCATACAAAGCATCTTTGCAAGGGTCTCCATCGTTAAAATTTTTTTGTGTTTTCATTGCTGCATTATGGAGCAAAACATCCCTATATATATGGCACCTCTGTTTGTTTCGGAGATGTCTGTGAAGAAAAACTGCACAAACGAACTTGTCATGCAGAGGTATCAAAGCCTTAAGTCAAGCCAAAATACAATCTAATAACAACTACTTCCTGAAACAAGTAATGCAAATGACAGTTTTTAAATGATGAGGGCTTTGCTAAGAAAGTTTTGAATAATAAAGACCACATATATAAATTTTACTACATATGCAAAGAATTATGAAATCATGTCAAACATCCCTCTCATTCAGATCCCAAGCTATAAATATAAGGGTGGAAGAAATGTTGAGTGCAAATGAAGGCACATTCAATGAAATATGAAAGTGCTTGGAACGATCCACCAAGATGCAATAACATCCTCATTGCCACAGAGATAGCCATTTGAAGAGCATGAACAAGCAGGTGACAACAGCTGCAGAAGGCTGATTGTCAGGTTTTGGGGTGTATTTGCATCTTTTCTATTGTGAACAGCAACACCATCTTCATGCTTGATGCTGCGCTGGATTTTCTGCTTTGGTTCAGGAACTCCAACAATTTTATCAACATCTCTGCACCTCACTTTAATGAATGGAAAAAGGAGCACACTTTAGTAAAAAATCTTTGGGGTTTTTTTTCCTAGCAACAATGACACACTGTGACCAGTTTCATATTATGGAATGCGTACTGTGACATGGTTTTGTTTATCTAGATCTGGGCTAACCAATTAGTGCCCCCCCCCGCCACCAGTATTTTCTTTGAGTCCTGCCCTTTCCTCAGCCAGGTGGGAAGGGGTAAATGAATCTTCTGCTCCACTTCATCTTGGGGCCTCTCTTCATTTCATGGAGGCTCTGATATCTTTTCCTATGCTAATCACATTACCATGTACTTCCAAAGCTCCTTATTCTGTCAATGGCACTTGCACATGACTACTTAAAAACTGCACTGTCCTCTTAGGCCATGTGCAAAAGGTTGTTTTCCCCATGTCCAGATTAGTTAATATGGAACAAATAGTAATGCATCCTAATTCCATCTACATTTTTATTCCACCAATTCCCCCAAAGACCTGAAGGCAGTATACATGATCCTCCCTTCCCTATTTTATCCTCACTACAGTTCAGTGAAGATAAGGCTGAGAATCTGGCGCAAGGCCACCCAGCAAGCTTCCATGGCAGAATGGGGATTTGAATTTACATTTTCCAGATTGTATCCCAACCATCTAGCTGCTACATAACACTGGCTCGTGTTCTGTGCTTATATTTATCAATAGAGCTATTATACCAAACTTAGGATATGTTCTATTCATTATTTAATTATCATTTTTCACAAAATCAGTGTGGTTAATGAATGGAAAAAAGGCTGAATTCCCCCTCCACTCTCAATACTTAGTTTGGGGAAAATTCTCACATTTGTATCTTAAGCTGAGACATTGCCAAGTTTCCTAAATACAGTTTAGAAGTGACCAATAAACTAAAAAATATCCTGTGGAACAGCAGAATTCACTTTTTAATCAGCCTGATCACATTAACAATACGGTAGTTATTTATTTCCAAACACAGGATAGCTTTCACTCTCAATGTTCTTCAGTCCCCTGTTTTAGAAGGGAGATACCATGGTGTGCCACTTCATGAGCATTTATGCCCTTGTGCTAATGGGGAAATTGAAATGGCTGGACATGCGCTGTTGCGTTGGCCCTTCTATAATGACCTTATATGTATATTTATTATACCCGTCCTCCAAAAAAATCCCTTGAATCTGGAACCTCAGAGCTGCCAAGCTCCTAGAGTCTATCAAAGTACAGTGTTGATTTAGTGAAATTTTATATATATATTAATGGAAGATTGTGTGTGTATTCTTATAACAACCCTGTTAATGTATGTTTTATTCTGCTGATCCATGACGGTAATAAATTATTGATTGATTGCATAAGATACTTATCACATGTTGCATGATAAATAACCCAGGGTAACAGGATCATGTAAATTTCTGATCACTGAGTTTTTGAAAAAGATACTGTGCTACAAAAGAAATTGTGACAGGACAGTTAGAATCAGCTGCAGCAATGCCTGGTTAAGTGAACGGTACCTGGAGTAAAGCCAGTGCTGATGGTGTCACTGGGGTTATAACCATTGGCAGGTCCTTTGATGCTTAAGTCTATCATCTGATGAAGGCGGAGCTTCCTGCAATAGATTGATGCTGCCTCTGGCTCCAGGGCGATTATCAGTTGTTCAGGATTCTCAGAGGTTGCCATTCCTGCCTGTGAACAGAGAATCATTGATCTAGGGGCATGAATAGGATGAATCCAGGAGGGAGGAAATTGGAATGTTCATACCATAAAAGGGCTTTAATCTCTGTCTGCTGTCACAATTAAGTTGTTTTGTCAACATAGATTTTTTTAAAAAAATACTTGCTAGCATATAATGAGCACCTTAATTGTAATTGTATTGGATTGGTTTTAAATTGTATAATATGTTTTAATTATCGGAATAATATGTTTTTATTTGCAAGATTTCTTGCCCTGTAAGCCGCCCTGAGCCCTACGGGGGAGGGCGGGATATAAATCTGATTAATAAATAAATAAATAAATATACTAAGTATTGGAGCAAAGGTAAGCAAGTCTAATTAATTTTACAGATTTTCACTGGGACAGAGATGCATGCAGTTTTCTTACTGAAGAAACAGTTGAGGTAGGCGCACATGATAATTCAAAGGGAAAAAATAGTATGATAAAAATTAAAGTTATTTAGTTTCTAGGCCTCTAGTTAATCTTAAACATATCCATCTTGCATTATATCTGCTCAATATGTAGGGAAGAAAATGCTACGCTAAACACACAAACCAGATCTGGATTGCTAGTTGCACGATCATCACAAAGATTTGTCTGGGCTGCTAAGATATTGCTCAAATTCACATACACATTTTGGCTTATTAGTTCTCAGAACTAAAGAAAATACTGAAAACCAAGAAAATCTCAAGAATACAACCAAGAGGGTTAGAAACCCTCCAAAATGAAATACATTTAAGTTGATTTGAGGTTTAAATGTGAATTCTGACTGGATCATACCTTTAATTTTTAAACAACCCTGAGACACTGAAGATTCTAATTATGGTGGATTTGTTTTTTCCTCACAATTGTGTCTTTTGTAAGATTAACATTCCTGTCTCTATTTTGTTCAAGATATTCTAAACCGAATGTATACTATTCATAAAATGGTATCAAGCAATGCTGTTTGGCAAGAAACAAACAAACAAAATACACCACCTTTCCCCATCTGACCCCCCTTGTTTGCAATGCCTACTTCTGTCTGGTATATCCCACCCAAGGAGAAATATTTTATTCTTCAGACACCTTAAGAGCAATCCCAAGAGTTGAACAATCCAAGGGTTACATTACACTGTAGTGTGCCTGAAAGTTAAACACAACATGCCAACTGAAGACTATTTTAAAAACTAGGTCAAGCAGTAATCACTGATTATTTAAATAGTAGGCCCCTATGTGTATAATGAAAGCCACACAACAGGGCCACCCACATACAAAGCAGAGGTGTCTGTCTACTTGGAACACTTGTCTGGTAAGCAGGAAGTAAGTAAACTAACCACCACCACCCTCAAAATTGCCTGCTGAGGATGGCAAATGCTCCACCAAGGATGAATTGCTGCCAGAGAAGACCAGTATGCTCAAACCTCTGGAAGCATGAATCATTCTGGAAGTAGAGATTCTGTATGGGATAGTATGGGATTTCCAAAATGGCTCCCCCCCTTCCTCAGGGGCTCCAGCACATGAACCCCTTCTACTGGTGAAGAAACTCCCTTCTACTGATGAAGAAACTCCCTTCTACTGATGAAGTAACCAGTCCTCTTGTGAATAATGAAAGCAGCACAGTGGGGCCAGCCACACCCATGAGATTTCAGAAAAATCAGGGAAACTTCTGGTGTGCAGAAAAAGGCAGGGGAAATCTCTCCCAAAAGGCAGACATAGGACTGTGCTCTTCCCCAGCGCTTCTCCTGCCCAAAGAAAAATGGTGAGAAATTTCCATCACAGCACTGAAGTGCAGAGAGGTCACAGCTGAAGAAGCAGGATTTCTCTCAGAGCCAGATTAAGACATGCTGAGGCCCTAAACTATATGAAGTGTGAGGCCCCATAGCACCCCCAAGGTAAATTAGTGAGGCCCTAATTTTTAGAGGCCCCTATAATTTGAGGCCCTAAACTGTAGCTTACTTAGCTTGTGCATAAATCCAGCTTTGATTCCCTCCCCAGTAAGTCTCCACCACTCAGCACAGTGTCAGGCGGTTCCTCAGCATTTCTCCTGCACAACGAAAATCGTAAAGGCAGTGGAATAAACTGGCAAGAATGAAGAAAACAGTAAAGTGTCAGTTAAAGGGGGAAGCTGGAAATTAGCCTACTTAAGCCCTTGAGAATTTACAGGATCCTGGAAGGGGAGATTTCCAAACTGTTCACATCTCCTGTGATTCTTCTCAGCCCCACAGCTTGCTGCATCTAACAGTAAAGTAACTGTCTACATTATAATGAAAATAGCAAGATGAGGCCACTCACAGGCAAAGTAAAGAAACTTCCAAAATATGCAGAAATATATGACTGTAAATCAACCAAGAGTAGCTGAGTGTCAGTTAAAAGAAAAAGGAGGGGAATTTATCCTGTTCAAATCTGTGATGCCTCCTGTAGGGGGAAATTTTGAGAGGTGGAGTGGGATTTCCAAGTTGTTTCCATTTCCTACAGTTCCTTGTGGGGTTCCAGCTTGTTAAAGTGAATTCCTTCTCCCAACACTCTGGTGTCCATGACTCACCTATGACCTATCCCATTGTGGGAGTGATATAAGTATTGAAACAGCTGAAACAGCTTTTAATGAGTAAGTATTTAGTACTATATTGTGATCCATATTAAAGAACCCTTCTGTACTTTGCATCTGTGTATCATATTGTGTGATATGAATGAAATGCTGATTGCAAACAGGATTACAGAGGAACAGTAAATAAAAATAAAATAAATGCTTATTTACAAACACAAATCTCAGTAGTAATGCCTCAGCTATTAATACAGTCAACACTACAATACTACCTATCATCCAGCAACGTGGCTGCTTCTAGGGTTGCCAGCTCCCCCCCTGCCAATCAGCTGGCAGGTGGGGAGACTTACCAGGAGAGACTTACCAGGCACGTCACCAGTCACGCTCTGGTATTTGGGCAAAAACTCAATGGAAGAAGCCATTTTTACCATAGAGTTTTTGCCCAAATACCAGAGCCATTCTACAACACCACGTAGCACTAGTACCACCGGACTTACTACAGGACAAGATAACCCCCAAAGAACTGACTATTACCATCATGAGATTTATTCGGGGATCATTCTGTTTTCATGGAGCCCTTTACTTTTATCTGTGTTATCTAATGGTTTTATTGCTTTTATTATGTTTTATGTGGGCTCTGCCCCTCGTAAGCCGCTCTGAGCCCACTCACGGGGAGGGCAGGGTAAAAATGTAATAAATAAATAAATAAATAAATAAATAAATATGATGTCACAGTGTGACGATGTCACTTCTAGCGCACGCCGGACATAATGCAACCACGTGGCTAGTGACATCGCCTGGGTCTCCCTCCTGATACTGGTAACCCCCCCATCCCCCACTGGTTGCCAGGAGGCAACCCTAGCTGCTTCAGTACATCCTGATCTAACCTATGTTGCAAAGAACTTTGGGTAAATGGTGTGCTGGTATGAGGTTCTACAAAAGACAAAACACATTACCATCTTGTTACATTTTCAACTACTACAATTTGTCTTCTTTTTACAAGGTATTGCACTCATTCTTGTTTATCCCAAACAGCAGG